GAAAAAAATGAGATTATAACATTGGTAAAATAAAAGAGATTCTGTAGAGTTTTCTCAAAATATATACTTTAGTCTCTTCCTGGAGATTCTGATTTAGTTTTGCAGGGGAGTAAGGGTTGGGAAAATGAGAATATACTGCGTGATTTCAGTCTGAATTTACACACACCTATAACCACCTCTATTTTGACACTATGAATCTTATCAGGGTGGGGCTAACTGCAGTCTGGGAAAGGTGACCATACTTCAGAAACCTTCCCAGGTCTTTCCATTCTCGCACCAGCAGTGAATTCACAATCTATTAATATTTACAAATACTTATTTGTGATTTAACAATCTTAAAATGGTAATTAACCCCATAGTAATTGCTGTCTAATCGTCTCAAGGAGATTACTTCTACTCTAATTATCTTGTTTTTATTTTATTTATTTATTTTACTTAAAATATTATATATATATTTTTTATTGCATTTTAGGTTTTGGGGTACATGTGAAGAACATGTAAGATTGTTGTGTAGGTACACACATGGCAGTATGATTTGCTGCCTTCCTCCCCATCACCTATATCTGGCATTTCTCCCCATGCTATCTCTCCCCAACTCCCCACTCCTCGCAGTCCCTCCCCTATCTCCCCCCAATAGACCCCCAGTGTGTGATGCTCCCCTCCCTGTGTCCATGTGTTCTCATTGTTCAACACCCACCTTTGAGTGAGAACATGCAGTGTTTGATTTTCTGTTCTTGCATCAGTTTGCTGAGAATGATGGTTTCCAGGTTCATCTATGTCCCTACAAAGGACACAAACTCATCACTTTTTATGGCTTCATAGTATTCCATGGTGTATATGTGCCACAATTTCCCTGTCCAGTCTATCATCAATGGGCATTTGGGTTGGTTCCAGGTCTTTGTTATTGTAAACAGTGCTGCAATGAACATTCGTGTGCATGTGTCCTTAGAGTAGAACAATTTATAATCCTTTGGATATATACCCAGTAATGGGAGTGCTGAGTCAAATGGAATTTCTATTTCTAGGTCCTTGAGGAATCGCCACACTGTCTTCCACAATGGTTGAACTAGTTTACACTCCCACCAACAGTGTAAAAGTGATCCTATTTCTCCACATCCTCTCCAGCATCTGTTGTCTCCAGATTTTTTAATGATCGCCATTCTAACTGGTGTGAGATGGTATCTCAATGTAGTTTTGATTTGCATTTCTCTAATGACCAGTGATGATGAGCATTTTTTCATATATTTGTTGGCCTCATGTATGTCTTCTTTTATAAAGTGTCTGTTCATATTGTTACCTTGTTTTTAAATTCATTTGAGAAAAACCCAATGAATGTAAAGGAAAAAATAGTGAGAATTGCATCAAAATGTAGAAGCCAGTGTAAACTGGTGAAGCTATAACTGGTACATTTGTGTTAGGAGACTTCCTTTTAATTTAATCTTGCCTTTATGGTTAAAAAAAACTCACAGAATTTTTAGTTCCTCTTAATAAATAAATAAATAAATTAATTTTTTTAGAGACAGAATTTCACTCTTGTTGGCCAGGCTGGAGTACAATAATGGGATCTTAGCTCACTGCAACCTACACCTCCCAGGTTCAAGTGATTCTCCTGCTTCGGCTTCCCAAGTAGCTGGGATTACAGGCACGCATTACCATGCCCAGCTAATTTTGTATTTTTAGTAGAGACCAGGTTTCTCCGTGTTGGTCAAGCTGATCTCGAACTCCCGACCTCAGGTGATTGGCCCGCCTTGGTCTCCTAAAGTGCAGAGATGACAGGTGTGGACCACCACGCCTGGCCTAGTTCCATTTTGTTACAAAGGAAAAAAATATTTTGTTGTGCGGCTGAGAGATAGTGCTTTTTAAATTATCAGAGAACAAAGATCCTTTTGGTAAAGTACATAAAATTTATTCCTTTACAATACTGGCTATAATCCATACCTTCCCACTCTTACTTTTTATTCTATAAAAGTCAGGATAAATTAAGTGGCAAGAGCAAACTCATAATATTAGTTTTTTTTTTTAGAAGCAGAAAGTGACTCAATTATTAATTGCTTTAAGAAACTGACATGGTCACTGTAACAAAGATGTTAACTGCATTATAATAGATAATCCTTGATCCTTGCAGAAAAAAATTTAGAGAATGAGGATTAGACTTTAACTTCTTATCGAATATTTGGAATATAGCATGGCAAAATATTGTATAGAAAAATGTGGTTTTGTTATACTTACTGAGAACATAGAATTATCTACACTTCTGGATTTTAATTAATTTTGATTGTTTTAGAGATAGGAATAAATGGGAGAAGTAACTCCAGTGCCTAGCAGGGTACCAAGTACAAAATTAGTGATCAATATATATGTGTTGAATAGATAAATTTGTGATGGAATATTTTTGGCAAGTTATAAATGTTATAGACAGATATTATGGATATTAAAAATCCCTCATCTTTATCTCCCATTTATTGTAATCTGCATCAATATTTTATTTTCTGTTTTTAAATTATTTTGCTGTAAGTTCTGGGATACATGTGCTGAACATGCAGGTTTGTTACATAGGTATACATGTGCCATGATAGTTTGCTGCACCTATCAACCTGTCATCTTGGTTTCAAGCTCCACATGCATTAGGTATTTGTCCTAATGTTCTCCATCCCCTTTCCCCTCACCCCCCAGCAGGCCCCCATGTATGATGTTCCCCTCCCTGTTTCCATGTGTTCTCATTGATCACCAGTCTTTTCTTAATTCTTTACTCTTTACTGAAAAATTAGAAATGAAGCAGAGACATTGGGAGTTTGATATTTTCACAGTGATTTAATACTATTTTGATACTGGCTAACTTGGGGGCCAATATTCTCATCCTTCTAGAGAAGTTGTGTTAGTTCTAATGACAATTAGTTTATAAGTTTTCTTCAATGATGAGACAGTATCTTCAGTATAAAGGACACACACACACACACACACACACACACACAGAGAGAGGGAGAGAGAGAGAGAGAGAGAGAGAGAGAGAGAATATCAAGGTAATTGAGAACATATTTACCAAACCAATTCTGAGCAAGATTGTTTTATATGACCTAACTTGCTAAGAGAATTTTACTTCATTATTCCAATTGCAGTATTTTCGAAGTTTACAAACATCCAAGATATGTTTGTAGGCAAATTTGTTCAATAAGTTCTCTGAAATTTGAAAGTGTTTGTGGAAACTGAGATCAATGATTTATAAGTGATTTTGTTATTGATTTTATTTGGAAACCCTTACATAATTTTGCAATTAATGTAGAGTGAGTGGAAGGTAAAGTGTGGCTTGAATATGCTTCAGAATTATTAGGCAATTTGAGAGTCTGCAAAATTCCTGAATGGTTCTGATTAATTCTTCATTTGGTAACCAAAAGAGGAAGGATTCAAAAATGATGTTTTTCAAATTACAACTGTTTCACCCACAACATTATTCTGATTATAAAGATATAAGTCTGAAATGAGAAGATGCCTTAAAAATACAATTGTTTCAGAAATAAAACTGCTTATTTCTGCCTCCAGTTGGGAACTACTTCTCTAAATGAAGCTTCTGCATTGAGAAGGCTTCAGAAAGGTTCTTCATAGCTGGTTCTGTAGGCAGTATATGCTAAGACAGTTATAGTTTTCCATTATCTAAATGTGAAGAAAGATTCTAGGCTCATGATTAGTATAATAATTTTCTACCTCATATTCAGAGAAGCAGAAAAATAGAAATCAAGTTTGGGATTCTTGGAAAGCATAGGATGACAATCTTATATTAAATAATCTAAAAGTATTGCATATTGCTTGCAGAAATAATGTCTTTTTATTGTCTGGTTTTTAGAGATTTTTTTCTCTTATGATTGTGTCTCTACAGCTCTGGATATTCAAAGATGTGAAAAATGTTAAGGACAATTTACCCTATCTTTAACAGTTTTCAATGTTGTTGAAATACACAGACATCAGAGAAATCATATGGAAACATCACCTTTACTTTATAATGAGGAAACAAGCTGAGAGCTCTTCCATGCCTTAATTCCTATTTCATTGTTATTTATGCTAAAGTATGACACTGTCTATCATTTATAATTTGACATCCTGTACAGATGTACAATCATGCCTAGCTTAATAATGAGGAGACATTCTGGGAAATGCATTATTAGGCAATTTTGTCACTGTGCAAACATCATAGTGTACTTACACAAACCCAGATCATATATACCCTACTACACACTTACACTATATGGTATTGCCTATTGTTCCTAGGCTACACAGCTATACAGTATGTTATGGTAGTAAACACTGTAGGCAATTGTAACATAGTAAGTATGTATCTAAACATATCTAAATATAGAAAGGTTGTAGTACAAGTATGGCAAAAAAAATAAGAAATGTTACCCTTATATAAGGTATTTGCCATGAATAGAGCTTGAAGGCCTAGAATTTGCTCTGGGTGCGTTTTGAGTTGAGTGTTGAGTGAATGTGAAGGCCTAGGACACTGCTGTGCAGGACTGTAGACTTTATAAACACATTAAATTTATTAATTTTTTTATTTCTCCAGAAAGAAATTAATTAGCTTACTGTAACTTTTTTACTTTATAAAATTTTTTAATTTTTCAAAACTTTGTGACTCTTTTGCAACATTTAGCTTAAAACACAAGCCATTGTATAGATACACAAAAATGTTTTCTTTCTTTATATCCATATTCTATGATCTTTTTACCATTTAACTTTTTAAAATACTTTTTAAAGGTTTTGTTAAAAATTAAGGCACACGTGCATACACACACACACACACATACACACACTAACCTAGACCTACTCATGAGTCAGGATCATCAATATCACTCACGTCATTCAACCTTTTGTCCTACTAGAAGGCCCTCAGGGCCAATAAGAAGCGTAGAGATGTAATCTTCTATGATAACAATAGCTTCTTCTAACATGCCTTCTGAAAGACCTACCTGAAGTTGTTTTATAATTAACATTTTTAATAAGTAAGAGGATTATAGTAAACAAAAAATCAATAACAGAATTTTTTTATTATCACAAAACACTATGTGTTGTACAGAATTATATGTGCTAGACATTTATACGACTGGCAGTGCAGTGGGTTTGTTCACATCAGCATCACCAGAAACCTGTGAGTCCTGCATTGTGCTATGACATTTGATGGCTATGATGTCACTATACAATAGGAATTTTTGAGTGCCATTAAAATCTGATGGGACCATTGACTTATATGCAATTCATCATTGATCAAAACATCATTTTGTGACTCATGACTGTACCTGGTCATTAACAGCTGCATCTGTGAGAAAATAGAGAGTATTTTAGTTAAATTTATGTCTTCTTAGATTTAAATTTTATTGTTTGTAATTATGTCTTTCTGGTGCACTGACTCATATAATCAACCGTCTAGATTCATATTCTCAGAATACTTAGCAGAAATTGAAATGTTATTACTGTATATTAAATGAAATTATTTTGGGGGAAATATTTAAATATTATATTATTTCTCTTGCACACTGGGTTGACCATTGATATTAGGGGCTAGTTTAATTATTTTATCTCTAATACCTAAAATCACAAATTCTCATGCAATTTACCCAATAAATTAGCTGAGTATATGTAGCTGATTATTTGAAGCTGTCAGTTTTCCATCCTGTTAAATTTGGTGATAAGAGAATGTAAATGTATATTTTATATGAATATGGAATTGTGTAAGCCTAGGGATACCTCTCTATCACTGAAACTATTTTACTATGCAAAAATGGTTTCATTTAGTATGTATTTACTATGAGTTCACTATATTATTAGCCCCAAACTAGGTGTAGCTGTATTAGTAAGAACAGCATGAGAAGCATGTTATTTTTCTTCACTGCCTCCGAGTGAAATCTATAATGACACCAAAGCCATACTTTAGTTATTTCAGAGAAATACTATTTAGAAAGACAGTTCCATATTTTCAGGCAACTTAGCAGTTCAGATGCCTTTAGGCTTTTTGCATAACTGAATTAAAGAGCTAGAATGTATATGAAAGCTTAGTAAACTATGTTTGTAGTTTCACGGAACGGCCATAAGCAGTACCTCACCTTGTTGGGATTCAAGTGTAACCACTGGAGTGATCTCTTGTGATTAAATCACCATTCTGTTAAAGTACACGAGTAAAGATGGACATGTAGTTGGTATGGCATGTATGGGTTACAGCTTGGCTATGATGTTTGTCCACATGAAGTCTCTCCCTTTATATGTATCACATCCAAATGTACAATTAAGCTAGGATATAAAATTGAATTATTTGAGGAAGGAAATTAACTGCTAATAAAACAAAACTTCTACCTATGATTAAATCAATTCTAAGCCACTCTTTATTAGTGAAAAATTCCCCTTAAAAAAGCCAAAGCTTTTAAATTTGTTATACTGATGAGCTAACTCTATGAATCAACAAGAAATTTTTACAAAAATCCATGAACAACTAATAGTATTTAAAGATGTCAATGAAAGTGAAATTTTTAAAGGCAAAAATTCTCTATTTATTGCTGAAACCCTAATTAACATGAAATTATAGAAGTCTAAATAGCACTTGCTGATTCATCATCTGGGACATATTTTCCCCTGGCTATGTTTGCTACCACTGCTGGATGAATAGTCAATAATTATTATTTGGTATCACACATTTCATAGAAACTGTCAGAACATGCAATTAGTCAGGAATGATAAAATGGCAACAAAAGTGTTGGAAATAATGAATTGGTGATATAAGTCATTAATGTGTGATACATGTATTTCTTAAAACTTGTCATAGTCTATGGGTTATTAAATGTAATCATGACTGGCAAAGCAGATGAACTGTGATTTAGGGACTCTGAAATGTTTAACTGTCACTTGAAAATGAACTCACATTCTTTTGATTATCTTGGTCTTTGCTACACAATCAATCACTGCAGAACAGAACCCTCTGTATGAAAATCTACAGATCTGGGGCCATTATCTGAAGGCATTTATTACAGAAAGTTGTACAAATGCCTCAGCTATAATATGATTTCACAGCATGAATGGCATGAACAGTAAGTCTCCAGAGATGCTGTAAAACGTTTGTGGCAGCTGAGATCTAAATTTAGACACAATTGATTGCAAAACTTTAACTTTTCATAGAACTTCTAGCCTTTAGCACACCACTTAAGTGGTCAAATAATGTTAAAAATAATTTTAGTTAAAAGTCATTTTTTATTTCCTGCAAATAAACATATGAGTGACAAACAAAAAGTGATGCCAAACATCCCTATTATTATCAGCACACCCTTTTGTGTTTTTCTGTTTTGTAAAGTCACACATATACAGCTGTATAGCTGTAATTTAGACTGTTCGGCTCCTAAAAATAGGACACTGCAATTCTCATTTTGAAAAAGGCTCAAGTTTACCAGCCATACCTATTGAAATCATTAATTAGTAAGAAGTGATAATCCGTTATGCTCCATTTCACCTTCGACTGTTGAAATCACCCCCTGGAGGTAACCACATTATAGTGATGGATGAAGTATTTGGAAAATTTCTGTGATCCAGAGCTTCTGGGAAGCAAAAGAATATTTTACAAATGTGTAACCAAAGAAGAGTGGTTTAACATAGTATTTCTTGTCTTCTAGTTCATATTACATTGACTAGAGGAAGATTACTGCTCATTTATGATTCTTGAAGGTGGTGACATCTGACATATATCTGAAATGGGAGACTGAATTTAATATTCATAATTAAGAGTCAACATTCATACTTCACTCTCCTGCTTGGCAACATTACACTGACAATACAGAAGAGTGGTACAGAACCTGCTGTTATGTAGCAGATTTTTAAATGAGCATATTTCAAAGCTCCCTATGAAGTAATGAATTAGAAATTGGCTTTGAATTCATCTTGATTGGCAGCTATTATTTGGTACATAGATCTCATGAGGCAGTAGTATGCAGTTATATGATAGCTACTAGGAACTCTGCATGACATTACATGGTGATATTGAAAATAATTCTAAGGTTTTTCTACTTAAATAAAAAATTTTTGAGGATTTACTTTCACATTTATGATGTAAAGCTGGAGCCTTCCAGTATACGGTGGAGAATGCAGAATTCAGGATGGAGTGGATGTGTTTTTGACCTTATCCAAGGGGATTTATTATTGGCAATACTAGGAGAATCTCATTGTACCAAGGCTTCATTTATAATAGAGTCCCATGGCATGGATCTTGTGGGTAGCATTACAGTATAGTTTCAGGTTTCTGGGAAAGAGCGGAGCAATTAGATATAGAAGAAAGTCACTTTTAACACGGTGTTTGGTTATGCACAGTGATTTCTTGTTAGAAAAGTCAATTGAGCTCAGCTATCTTGAGTATATTACAGGTACTTGATAAATATTTGTTTTGAAGTGTATCAGGCTGTAGCATATTTAGAATTCTGCCTCTGAGAGAGGCAAGAAGGTGATGTTATAAGATTTCTCAATTATTTTCCTTGCGGCAATCTCAAAAGGTTAGCCTTCTACTATAAAAATATTCACTTACACTATGCAGGTATCATTCATAAATCTGAGTTCTCCTTGCATTTTTATTTAGTTATATGTTAATTTTATTTTGGCATCCAGTACCTCTTGTCTCCAATCACTGAAGTGCAAAGTGCTAATTTTTTTTTATATTATGGGACACTACATCATTCAATCAATATTAGATAGTCCTGAAATTCTTTGAGCCAGGGTTTCTTCATTTGAAATGTCATAATAACTAGTTGTATTTTCAAAGTAGAATAAATTACAGCATATACAATTTTCTAGCACATAATAGATGCTATTCTATCTCAGAATCTATTCCCTCTGTGTCACTTTCACTCTTTCATAAAAGTTAATTATATTCCCCTTCAAACTTAGTTTTTAGAGATTAATGAAGCTCATGTCTTCATATCAAAATTTCTGCAAATTCTTGATTTTAGCTACTTCTTGTCCCTGCTTCAAACTTTAAGTTGTCCTTCTTCAGCCATGCCATAAGAATTGAACTCAAGTCCAGCTTTTTAATCAACTCCCTCTAATGTTTTTTATCTCAAAGGAAAAGCAAAATCATATTAAAACTGGAGCAAATAATGACTTGCTCACTATATTACTGCTTCCCTTACCATGGAAGAATTGAGGATTGATGGAAGCAGTATCTGTGATGTTCATGGCTGTATCTTCTTAATCATCAGTATTATCCTCCCCTGCACTGTGGCAGATAGGTACAAAGGAGTGACACAAAGATGCACTGGGCAAATGTTCCAGTGGTCTTAGGCAGTCATTGTTAATGAAGGCATGACATTAGTGTAAGTTTGATTGAACAACATATTAAAATTACTTCCACTAAGATAATAAAAGAGTCTGTTCAAATGTATGGTGTATATATTTATTCCTTTATAATGTTTCTTAAATCTTTCCTTCTGCTTTCCATCCCTAATGACAACAGTTTTGGACATATGCTTTTTTATCTAATGCATGAATCACAAAATTAGTTTTCTAACTAGCTTTCATTTCTGTAGTCATATTCCCTTTTATTCATTGTACATGCAGCTACTGTATTAATTTTCATAAAATATCGTTTTTTCCTTATGCTACGTTCATGATCATACATCTTTGTAAGTTTCCTATGGATTTCAGCACAGTTACCCAGAATTTTTACTCAAGTGGCAGATGAAAAGGAACTGGAAGACCCTGAGAACATAGAATTAAACAACTCTCCTCAAACCCCATCCTATATCTTAAAATTCAAATTAAATTTTTATACCCTTCTCTTTTCTTTTTCCAAAAATGTGATTTTAGTGTGACAAAGACTCTCTCCTAGAACAAACTTTATTCGGGCTTTTCTGAACTTGCTTTTCAACTGGGTACTGTCTTTGGCTTGCTTAGCTCAATTTTGGCAGGAATCTTTTTCATGTCTCCTTTTAGTAGTTTTTAGCAGTACCCACTGACCCCCTCATTCCTTCTCCTTGACTTTAAGTCCCCAGCTGTCTTTGCTGTATTTGCAGTTGAGCCCCATTTCTCCCTTACTGTGATAGTCATAACACCTGTGAGTCATATTGCATAAAATCTCCCTTACCATTTTAGCAAGTGTCAGAATAATTTTTCTTTAACAGCAGGGAGTGCCAGTCATGTTAACCCACACCCTGGAAGAGAGGAGGTCAATATAACACAAGTTTGACCAGTCACAATGTTATTCTCAACTGCAGTTCTCTTTGTGAAGTAATATGGGTGTGAGCCCTAAGCCACTCAGTACCATGGCCTGCTACCACAATATAAAGAAGGTGATATTAGACAATGAAGATGTCACGTGGACAGAAATGGGGTCCAAGACCAGCTGCTCTCAAGTCCCTGTTTACAGTTCTCCTTAAGGTCAGCTCTATTCCTGCCCTTCCTGGTTGTGTAAGCCAGTAATTTGCCCTTTATTTTTTTTAGTACACTCAATAATGTTTCATATGCTTGAAGCCAAAATGTTTTGACACATATATTCACTCCAATGATACTATTCATCTACCCTGCTTTATCTATAACCTTAATTTCTTGATTACACTATGTACAGTTATGCCTTGTGTAAATCCACAGAACTTAGGCTTTTAATAACCGTTTACTAATTTCTCTATTCTATATGCTTTAAAATTAAGGAATTACACAATTTGTAATATTTAGAACTTTAATGTTCTAATTCATCCATCCATTCATTATTTTCCATGGGATCTTAATGTATGTATCACTCTGTTCATTTTCTTTAATTTATTATTTTGCTGAACAGTATCTTGTGAGCATCATTGTGTCAACAGCAACATTTTATCGCATAAAAATATGGCCACTTATGTAATCCTCTATTTTAAATTATCTAGATTGTTTCCACAGATTCCCTATGCAAAACACAATCAAATAAAACAAAATTTTAGGTTTTCTTATTAGCACATTTCTTACATGCTTGGTTATTTCCTGATGATATATACATTTTGAATCTACATTTTAAAAAAATCCTTTTTTTAGGGGATACATTTTGCTAAATAATTCTTCAGAAATATGGTTCAAATTTATACTTCTAAAAGAATTAATTAACCAATCTTTAATTTTTTTCTCAAAAACTAGAACTGTTGTTTTTGTCATTTTTAGCTTATAGTTAATTGCATATAAAAGTAAAAGTGTTTTTCGGATTTTTAAATTAAACTTGTTCTTTGTTTAATTTTTATTCCTTCACATATAAAATTGTGTTTATCTCATTTTTGTGCCATTCTATTGTAGCTATCTTTTTCTAATTGATTCGTTAGAACTGCTAACATTAAGGAGGTTAGCATTTGTCATTGATGATGATTATAATGATGATATTTTGGAGTTATTAGCTTTTTTACTTATTCTTTCATATATACTGAAAAATTGTGTTAAATTTTGTTTGCATTTAACTTTTAATGAAAGGTATTTAGAAAATTGGTCCATTTTTGATCATCATTTTCCTATTACTGTTAATGTTGACCAACTTCTATATTTTGGTCCTTATTTATAGTACAGTGGAAGAAATAGTTCTACTTTTTAAAATGATTATCCAAATACATTTTGCTTTTATATATGCATGTATTATATATATTTATGTTTAAAGTTCTAGATTATCTATAAAGAAATATACAAACATTTGTCTTACAGTGTGGTTTAACTGAATATATGCCATGTTGTAGCAATTTGACACTAAGTTTAAACTTACTGGAAAAGCTTAGAAGTCAAAGTGAATGAGTAGAAAATTAATGTCACATTAAAATGTTAAGAAAGCCCTGTAGAAAGCAATTCTAGACATTTGTTATCTGGAGAACATCATCCTCAGCAAACTGACGCAAGAACAGAAAACGAAACACCGCATATTCTCACTCATAGGTGGGTGATGAAAAATGAGAACACATGGACACAGGGAGGGGAGTACTAAACACTGGGGTCTATTGGGGGGAAATGGGGAGGGCCAGTGGGAGGGGGAGGTGGGGAGGGATAGCCTGGGGAGAAATGCCAAATGTGGGTGAAGGGGAGAAAGGAAGCAAAACACACTGCCATGTGTGTACCTATGCAACTGTCTTGCATGTTCTGCACATGTACCCCCAAACCTAAAATGCAATAAAAAATTAAAAACAAAAACAAAAACAAAACAAAACAAAAAAAAAAAAACAATTTTTCGTTAAATTCTTTAAGTGATTTCAATACGTTTTTGGTATAAAACCAACTGCTTTTCCTAGTGTTTGCCAGAAGATGGCGCTATACTAATAAAGTATGATCTCAGTGTTCCAGGAAATAACAGCTAAATATTGTCAAAGTATTAAAATAAAAGCAGCTCCTAAAGCTTGACAAATAACTCTCTAATGATATGCTCATTTTATGTGCTCATATCTTAAAAAGAAAAGTTTGTTCTGCATTTGGAGGTAAAAGGAATAAAAAGTATTATTTTTTTCACATATTTTTATTGTTTTTTCTTTTCAAGTCATAAGACAATTTGGGTATAAGAAGGCTGCTCATTAGCGGTTTTTAAATTAGAGCTACATAACAAATCTGAAATAATTTTAAAGTCGTATGCTCATACAATACACACACACACACACACACAATAACTTCTGTGCTAGGTTTGAAAAAATGGAACAGAAGAAAACAAAACCAAAACTTAAAATTGTGATAATTCCATGTAACTAACCACAAACATATCTTAGATATATTATAATTATTTATATTTTAAAACAGTCAACTAAAATTCATCTCAGAGACAGGTTTACATTGAATTTATTTACAGCAAGACCCAGTCATTCATCAGAATTCTGGCAAGCATTCCTTCAACCACTGATTTTAGTTAATGTCATTAAATATAGATGTCTTTTAAAAGACAGCCAATTTGGTATAAGGGGAAATGCCTCAATGCGTACTAATAATGAGATTTTGTTCAGCATAAAAAAATGAACCTTAATAAACTCCTTTCATTCTCCATTGCCCTGGCTCCAGAATTTTCTAATGAGTAGCAACAGGAGCTCAGCAACCACTAAGGCCTCTTAACCTGACAGTAATTGTGTCTAGTAAGTAGACAGACAAGAATATTCAGCAAAAGTTCAATTGAGGCATTCGGTATTACCTTACCAATTCTTACTAATGACTGGGAAACAAATTGTATGTCTTGAGCTTGTCCATGGGGCAATGGTTTAGGTTCTGTAGGGAAGAAAGAACCATGGACATAATATAAAACTTTACTAATGAGCAGAAAAAGCATTGGTACATATGTTACTTTGTTTTATTTTTGGTATGATCCTTTCAGTACCTTCCAAATCTATACAAATAGATAGTTGAAAAACAGGGCACTCTTTTCTTTCTTTTACTTTAAGTTCTGGGTTACATGTGCAGAATGTGCAGATCTGTTACATAGATAAATGTGTGCCATGGTGGTTTGCTGCACCCATCAACCTGTCATCTAGGTTTTAAGCCACACATGCATTAGGTATTTTTCCTCATGCTCTCACTCCTCTTGGCCTCTACCTCCCTGGCAGGCCCTGGTGTGTGATGTTCCCTCCCTTTGTCCATGTGTTCTCATTGTTCAATTCCTACTTATGAGTGAGAACGTGTGGTGTTTGGTTTTCTGTTCTTGTGTTAGTTTGCTGAAAATGATGGTTTCCAGCTTCATCTGTTTCCCTGCATAGGACGTGAACTCATTCTTTTTATGACTGCATACTCTTTTCTTTATAATACATAGCTGGATAGTTATGCATTATGCTTATTGAGTTCCTTCTATGGACAGACTATCTTTAAAGTATTC